AGGGAGTCCGTCGAAGAAAGAAAAACTTGACCCAAGGCACAAACCCGCCTAATATTCTTATACGCCCGCTCCTCGGTATTTCACGTATTGTAGGCTTCATCGACAACAAGTTTGCTTAGTGCAAAACCAAGAATATTGCTGTGTCCACAATGTTGCTTTCCTATATCGCTGACTGTAGTTCAGTAAATTGTTGTTGACCAAGTGATCGTTGAAAAGAGTTGTGATTGTTGACTGACTAGAGAGGCTATAGCTTATCTAAATTTGTAAATTAATAATAATATAAGTTAAACTTGTTTGATATTTAATCTATAGTAATTATAAAAACTAGATTGGTAAATGATATAATATCTTTAAAAAATTTATAATTTCATAAAAAGCACTAAACCTGATAAAGTAAATTGATAGATAAATATGGTGATTATGATTGTATATTATACTATCAAGATTTTTGATTTGGTTATAAAGTGTAGTAAATAATTCTGGTGAAATATCCAGTGATATTAAATTAATAATCTGTTGTAAAAAGCTGCTAATAAGATTATGAAGTAGTGCTAATAAAAGACAAGTAATCTAGAGTACAAACTGATAGCAATTTGGTAAGAGTTGATGTTTGTATTATAATAGTATATGAAGAGTAGAAAGTTCATCAAAAAAATTTTATTCAAAATAATATAAGAATAGAAAATTAGAAACTGTATGAAAATTTGTAATTTTTAATTATTGTTTATATAAAACCATGTAGGTAGCAGGCTAGTTAATATGATAAATGATTTAAGAATATTATTAAAATTTGTTTTGAGATAATCACAAAGCACAGATATATATATATTGGATAGTATACCAAATTAGTAGCTTTAAGAGATACAAAATGTCAAGGCCAATAATATGACCATTATGATTATATATATGTGCTATATTTTTAGAGGTTTTTCTGTGTACAAATAGGCTAACTCCAGCTTGATTTAGATTAGTATATAAGCTTCAGAAGCTAGTATATATTTTGATTTTATTGTTTAAGAATTTTTCTTCTTTGGTTGATAATTGTGTTTTTAAAAGTCCAAAAATATCATATGTATTTTGTTCTAAGATTTCTTCAATAAGCAATTTTTTTGTCAATTGTAAAAGTCTATTAGTATTAAGTAAAGCTACTTTAATAGAATATATTCAGATTCATAAATATAGAGTATATTAGTTAATTGATATAAAGTAACATATGAATTAGATAAAAATAGATTTGAAGTAATTAGTAATTCAAAAAATAAATAGAGAATAAATTATTTTTTTTTTAATTGGCTGTCTTGCCTTATTTATTTTAGTATCAGTCTTTTAAAAATTACAATAACTTTATCTATAACTATAGAGATACAACTAAAATAAGACTCACATATATAATTTTATACATCAAACATGATCTGCCTAAGTAGCTTTTGGCCTCTCTCAGAGTCCTTAACTTACTAAGAACTTTTTTCCTGTTGTTCATTGGCTAACAGCTACCCAATGCATCAGGAAGCAAAATAAGAAAAAATATAAAATGGACTAAAAAAAACACAAAGGTATAGTGGCTACGATCAACTTAAAGTAAAGAGATTAGAACAAAGTCTTTGAGTATCATTTATATGGATATATATTGCATTTGAGGCATGCGTATACATATTTGTTGCCATGTTCTGATTTGAGAAATAACCAATGCTGACTTGTTTGATATATGTGATGTCAATTATTTAAAGGGGGTAAGCTAAAATGCCTACTTTTTACAAAATTTTGTCAAAAAAAAGTAGTGGACCAACGAAAGTATGTGAGGTTCTTCTTATAAGTTTTACAGTTATGTAGTCCAGCTTTTCTATTTCTACCAACTTAGAAGTATACATTGATTACTTCTACAGACTTGTTTCCAAAATAACTCTTCTGGTTTGGATGCCGAATACCCTGAGAGTCCATTAAAGAAGAAAAAACTTAATCCTAAAGAAAACTGTCTGTTCTTTTGATGCCCGCTCCTCAGTATATCATGCCTAAATGCTTAGACTTAGTTAATAACAAGCTGCTTCTACTTATAGGACCAAGTTTAGTATCTACTGTGTTGCTTTTCTATATGTTTTGCTGTAGTTCAGTTTTTGTTGTTGTTGACTAGAGGATCATCAGAAAAAGTTTGTGTAAAAGGTTTGAAAAGAGAATAAATTATTAATTAACTACAATATACTAATTAAATAATTTATTATACTATTGAGATAAAAATAAATAATATATTTTTGGATTTAATTCTTCACTTTATTTTCTAAAATATTTTATATTATTTAATTTTTAATATAGGTAGGTTATGTGAATTGTACTGATAGGAGGTTGAATCAATGTGTCCAATATTGTACAACAAAGTAAAAGAATGGACATTAGAATCAAAAGCAGAAATCAATGATGATGGGATGCAAGAGATTGAAATCAGCAATACATTAGTTAAAGCTGATGTAGTAGTTGAAACATTAGAATTAAAAAGAAAAATGTATCTGAAGTTGAAAAAGATGATAAAGCATTTATTTGTTGTCAACAATTAGTCGAGATGGGAAATGCTATTAAAACAAATAGCCTTGGTTATATTCATTGAGATGAAATTGGTATAGAAATGGATGAGATTATAGATGGCGAATATGATGCAGCCTATAATATAATATATGAATATTTTAGTAATGCCAAAAATTGGGAATATGAAATTAACGAAAGCTGCTGCAACAAACCTGATGGTGTTAAAAACAGTGATGATATGACTATTAATATAAATGATTAGTGGTTTGATAATATGAAAGCTAAAATTGATCAAATGCTATTAGCTATGAATGATAGAAACTATAAAAATGTTGTTGAAAAGAATGCTTGTAAAGCATACATTCATCATCAATCATCTGTTAAGATGAATCATATTAGTAGTACATATGATCATAGAAATTGTGACCAAAATGGAATCGGTTTTGAAAAAGATGGACATATGGCATTCATTAATTATTAAACATCTACATAGATGAGTTATAATGATAGAAAAGGTGATCTAGGTTATTTATTGTCATCAAAATGGAGTTGTTAATGAAAAGGTTAAATATAGAACATCTATCACCTATCAAAAATCAGCAGAAATAGATGAAGCATATGAACCTGGATGTTGTAACCAAAATGGTATTGGAAGAGTGATGAAACATGAAGGTGAAATGAGCAATCTTAGTTATTACTATGAAAATAGAATTGTAGTTGAAAAAGATGAATGCAAGACATCCATTAATGATCAAAAATCAGCAGAAATGAATAGTGCTAATGGAACATATGAGTTTAGATATTGTTGCCATAATGGCATTAGAATTGAAATCAATGAATATGAGGTATTTGATGATTCTCAGGAACCCACTAATATGAGTTGTGCTGGGGAAATCCAAAAGGTCAAAGCTATTAAAATAAAAAATGCTGATGGAATCAACAATAATGGTTATTGTAATTGAAATGAAATAGGAATTGCAAAGAGTGAATATATAAAGGTTCTACAACATGGATCTATGAATATTAATCATAATAGGCTGATGCTGTTTGTATCTGTTTTTGTGGATTTCTTGGTTGTTTGTTACTAGTGGTGGACTGTAAAATGTTATATGGAAAAATATGAAAGGGAATATAATGTTGATGCCAAAATAAAAGATGTTAATGTTGAACAAATTAAATGTGGCACAGTTATGGGTGATGGTATTAAAGTAGATGATAAAATCAAGGGTATTGTTAGTGAGATAGCACCTGAAAAGATGACAGAGAACATTAGTAAATGTGAAATACCTACTATAGGTAAGGATGGTCTAGAGATTTCTTGTGAGAAGTGGTTGGAAAGAGTTCAGAAATTTAAAGGATTTGTACTTCAGGATGAAATACAGAGGTCTAGCTCATGTCATGGTGCATTTCGGTACCCTATATAATCAGTTCATGTAACGTGATCCAATCTATTGCATGATTGGGTTTTGTATGATTGTAAATTAATTAAAAGTCTAATTCATGTAATGGTGATGTAATGATTAATAATATATAAGGGTCATGATCCTTTAAGGGAATCGACCAGAAGTTTGAATTCACAATTAGGTTTTCTAAAATAACCTTTAGTTAAGAAACCATGTAATTGTGTTGTCTTCGCTTTGGTGGTTAGTACCTGAATGATATGCTGGTATAAGAGAAAGCCAAGCAGAAAAGACCTGTAAATTTGAGTTAAATTTGAGTAAAGCAATAGGTAGCTGGATAACTACACATCAATATTGCTTATTATTGGCAAATAATTGCATATCTCGAAATTGTCAGATTTTTGCAAAGTACCGCTGCCTTTCTTGGTTCAGCCTGTGATTTATTTAATCAACAAGGTTCATCACATCCATTCACCATGCAAAAAGCTCCAGTATATCGGCCCAGTGCAAACACATTACTTGGTTCGATTTCTAGATCATTTAGATCTGTGGGCGATTCTTTATTTATCTATCATATGATATGTTGTACCATTTCGACTTAGGTTATACTCAAGCAGTCGAAATGCCATTCAATCATTTCAGTTATTCGGAATTAATCGAGGTGATCCTTATCATAATTTGCTAAAAATTTATTGTGCAAAATACGGATTTTAAATTCTATCCAGTTATAATTCATTTAATTAACCGATGATTTGTTTAAATTTGCCGGTGATTCTTTGACATTGTTCATTGTGCATGAATTTGCATTATGCCGGCTTAATGCTTAGGCCACGCAAAGTTGATTATTTGTTTTGCATTACATGGATTTCAAAATTCACGGTCGGTCGGATTTTTTTTATTTTATTTTATTTTTTTTAAATCTACGGTGAATTAATGGCTCATGTTTACATCTAAGGCCGCACAAAGTTAATTTTTCGCTTTGTATAACATGGAAT